GAACAGCAGAAGTTTTTTTATTTAAGCGTGTCTATTTTTGCCATATAAAAATGTGATTCATATTTAGGGAGAGAGGTGGTCTGTCTACCTCCCTCAAAAACGCCTCAAGAACTTTATCGAAGCTTTCCTCTCAAATTAACTACCACTCTAATAGAACATTGTCTGTTAAATCGTCGATACAAAAGGGGGTCTACATTAATCTCAACCATCTATAATTCTATAATAAGAGTTTAAACCTCGGTGCACCAGGAGCGCTACGCGATTGAACCGACAATACTAATAACAGAAGTCGAGCACTGTATCTATTCACCTGCCACATCCCTTCATAGCCAAGAACAAAATATTTCAGACCCTTTGTAATAAATAGAATAACATGTAAATTTAATCACCAACTCGAGTACTACACGTCTACCCTCTGTGGTGGAAACCAGCAACCCTCAAAACCGAGTGATAGGCGCACCTCCCACACCATCTGGGAGTCACACTCAACAGTACCGGTCATCCTAATTCTGTTGGTTGTAGCACTTGTGAGTACGTTACCCTCCCACTATTATAATGCTCTTAGATCTTCCTTTTTCACACCTCAGTGACCCTGAGTTTTTACTGTTCCTTAATCAGTATCAATGTTCCTACAATGATGATGCTAGTGTCATTCCCTTAGATGTGCTAGATCGTATGTGTTACACCCCCTTTACCCATGGTGTCGACACAATACTCCCTCATATCGATCCTGATGTCTTTCTACAAAACTCACTGGGTTACACCAACCCCAACTGTAAATATTACTTTCCTGACTCTCCCGAGTTTAGTTCTAGTGTCCTACTACCTCATTCCTTCTCCTTGATTAGCCATAACGTCAGCAGTATTCCCCTTCATCTAGATACCTTTTCCCATCAGTGTTTTTCTTCTATTGCCCACAAATTTGATGTACTTGGGTTCTGTGAGACCAAACTCACTAACGATATTGACCATTTGTATAACATTCCGAATTATAATAGACACTGCGTAAACACGTCACGACACAGTGGTGGTGTCGCCCTATATGTTGATATCAAGTATAACACTTCTGTAAGAGATGATTTAAAGGTTGAGGAGGAGTACATGGAGAGTGTTTTCATTGAATTACGTAACAACACACGAAATATCCTAGTAAGGATAATCTACAGAAGACCCCACACTAATGTAAGGAATTTTCTTGATAAATTTTCGGAGCTTATCACTATCATGAGTTCAGAGAGGAAACATTGCTACATTAAAGGAGATTTCAACCTTGATCTATTAAAATCTGAAACCGGCACCTCAGTATTAGACCTTCTTGCTACCTGTCATTCTAAACTCTTCTTGAACACTATAACCAAACCCACTAGAGTAACTGCCACCTCTGCCACTGTGATAGATCATATCTGAACTAACAACACTCCTAACAATCTTGCAAGTGGAATTATTTATAACAATATCTCAGATCACTTCCCAGTTTTTGCCATGTATAAAACAACCACAAGACCTGAAAGGTCAAGTAGAGTCTCAATCTAATACAGAGACTACTGCGCTGACAACATGCTCCTTTTTGAAAACAACCTAATGAATGCTAACTGAGATCTTGTCTATGCCTCCGACAACCCTAACGTGAACAGCTGCAACTTCTCTTGCATCTTCAATGCTTGCTTTGATAAATGCTTCCCGCTCAAGACTAAGTCGGTGAAAACTGTATCCATTTCCAAACCCTATATCACAAGCGAAATTAAGATAATGATAAAGGAAAAACACAAACTCCAAAGGAAATTTGCAAAAAGACCCATAACTTTCGGTGCTGCTTACCGAAGTATCAAAAATAGAGTAACTCAAGCAGTTAGAAATGCCAGACGTAACTATTATACAAATAAGCTCCAGTCAGCATCAGGCGACAGTCAGAAAACCTGGAATGTCATAAATTCTATTCAAAACAGGAAACCTCAGCCTTCGGACCCCCACTCAGCTTTCATGATAAATGATTCAGTTGTAACTGAACCCTCCCCCATTGCCAACCACTTCAATGAACAGTTTATTAATGTTGGCAAAAATCTTGAAAAGAGCATCCCTGATCACCATAAGGAATTTAGAGCCTACCTGAAAAACAGACAGCAAAATGAGCTGTTCTTATCCCCTGTCACAGCAGATGAATTACTGGTCATCATAAAAATGTCCAAAGATGCAGCAGCAGGCGAAGACAATATGCCAATGAGCATCATTAAGAAAGTAGCCCACTTATTACTACCTGTTCTCCTACACATTTGTAACTCCTCCTTCACTAGTGGTGTCTTTCCTGATAAACTGAAAATTGTTAAAGTTCTCCCAGCATATAAAAAATCTGGGGACAAAGGTCTCTTCAAGAATTACCGCCCCATATCAGTCCTCCCAGCCTTGACTAAGATACTGGAAAAGCTAGCATGTAATAGACTAAATTCCTTCTTCAATGCCAATAACATCTTTTCAGACTCCCAGTTTGGATTTAGAGCAAGAAGGTCGACTGGGAGTGCTCTGCTATCCTTTACTAATAACATCTTAAATTCCTTTGATAACAGTCAGTTCACAGTAGGCATATCCTTGGACCATATACCATCCTCCTTTCAAAGTTTGAACATTACGGCGTTAGGGGCCTGTCCCTCAATTGGTTTACCTCACATCTGTCCAACAAGATGCAGTATGTCTGCTATAATAACCACCAATCTGACTCCTCGCCAATCTTGTATGGAGTCCCACAAGGTTCCATTCTCGGTCCAGTACGGTTTTTGTTGTACATAAACGACATAGTCCACGCCAGCTCACTCATAAAATACAACTTATTTGCAGACGATAGTAATCTCTATGCCAGCAACTTACTGTAGACCTCCATTCCTTGACGAGAACTATGAACACTGAATTAACTAGAGTCGGGGCCTGGGTAATACGTAATAAACTAACCTTAAACCTTGAAAAAACTCACTACACGATCTTTTACAGAAGGAAAAACTTACCCCCAGAACCTGGACCCCCTGTACCTTGGTAATATAGTCCTCAAACGCGAACAAAATACTAAATTCCTCGGGGTATTGTTAATGAGAAACTTATCTGGAGAAACCACATACAAGCCATTCACAGTAAAATCAATAAACAGTGCGGAATCATGTATCACACTCAACAGTCCCTCACTCTCACAGCAATGAAATAAATCTATCATGATCTTGTTTACCAACACCTGATACACTGTCACACACTATGGGGGGCCTCTGGCTCTTCAAAAACACAATCTCTGGTTACTGCACAAAAGAGAGTTGTATGGACAATGACCTACTTGAAAAAAGAAACAGATCACACAAACGAAAAATTTGCTATATTGAAAATTATAAAATTCGAAGATATTAACACCTACTGCTGTGCCCTCTGTTTTTTACAAATCTATCAATCACTTGCTTGACAATAATTATTTCCAGTTCCGGAATAATCAGAGATACAACTTAAGGCACCCAGAACTACTGTACAAAGATCTACCCCATGCGCTCCTCGCAGTCCCAGACCTCCATAAAATATCATGTGTGAAGGTGTGGAACAACTTCCTTTAAATCATCGCTTAAAAAATATCTATTGTCGAAGTATTAATATTTCTTGTAACACCTACTATATTTATAGTACCTGCTTTTATTGTACCATCAAAACCGTTTTATCGGAAATTATCATGTAAATAAATAAGTAATTACCATGGCAATAAACATAATTGCCAACTAGACATAATCCTGACAGCTCTGTCCTCTTGTTCAATCTTATTACTGTACAACCCATGTTGTACTGCTCCCCCATTATACTTATGTTTTTCAATTCCACAGTAATTTATGTATATATATATATATATATATATATATATATATATATATATATATATATATATATATATATATATATATATATATATATATATATATATATATATATATATATATATATATATATATATATATATATATATATATATATATATATATATATATATATATATATATATATATATATATATATATATATATATATATATATATATATATATATATATATATATATGTATATGCTGATAACCACAAGGAAAGAAGAAAACACGAAGTTCCCAAGCGCTTTCGTGTAATTCACATCTTCAGGGGTGAGTACAGACTAGAGAGAGAAATACAAATCAAGGTGTATATATACAGAGGAGGGTGAGACCAGGTCCACAATGGTCAGGTATTAGGTAATGACCCTACTAATCTTTAAATAGCACATAACGGTTGGTGGTCAGGTCAGATGGTCAGGTGACCCGACCTTCTCACCTGGTTACAAATCTTCTTAATTACAAAATTGTCCAGCTTGTACATGCCGTTACTCAAATTCATGTTGAATGCTTCGGTATGTTTAATAAGACTAGATTCTATGATGTTCCTACTATCAATTGAATTACATGGTAATAGTGAGGAGGCATTATCCCAGTCAATGCAATGCTTGTTATCCCTCAAATGAATTACACGAAAGCGCTTGGGAGCTTCGTGTTTTCTTCTTTCCTTGTGGTTATCAGCATATACCTACAGTAGATCACGCGCACCTACAGTGATTTACTTGCATATATATACGTATATATATATATATATATATATATATATATATATATATATATATATATATATATATATATATATATATATATATATATATATATATATATATAACAAATAAACTAAAAACACATAATAAATAATTAAAATAAATATATATTAAAGTGATAACCGTGGTAACACTATGAGATGTACTTATTACCACCATGCTATTGTACTACTCCAGGTGATACTAAGTGTTACATAATACTTCCTTGAGACAAATATATAGTATATATCAGGTGCCTCAAAGAGAGCTCAGGTTCTCAACTGGCTCAGCCATGTTAATATTGTTATTAATATCCACTCTGCATCTGTATTTTTCTGGCTAAATAAACTGTTTCAATTCAGTTCAATTCTAACACTCACGTGAAGAACTTGTCAGGGAAGAGCGGGAGGTTGGTGGTCAGGGTGAGGCCTTGGTGGGGCGTCCAGATGGCAACCTTCAGTGGCTCTGCCTCATGGGTTGTGAAAGGTAAGTGAATGTAAACAGTAGACCTGTAGTTGAAATGGCTTTTAGATAAGCAATGAAATATACAATGCTATGTTTATTTGCTCCAACTCTTTGATTATTGGCAATATTTGGTAAATATCCACATTATTCCCGTAAATGTTTCAGTGTAAACAAACAGAATATTGGCACTGATAATAACTGGCGAGAAGTTGAAGATTCATCCATGATGAGCAACATGGCGTTATTAAGGGAGAGTAACTTATGGAGACCTTGCAGCTCTAGGAGAAAAGGGCGGGTGACAATGAGAAGCCTCGACGACCACACCAGGAGGCGGCCCTTAACAGATAACTCAGCGAAGGTGACGAGGAAGGCTGGGTCGTCGCTCACCACCACCACCGTCACGCACCATGACACCTGCCGCAGCTGTTGACGTTAACATGGTTAATGTTATGTTAAAGTGACCCACCCGCCTCAGTAGTAAGGTGAGAGTGACCTCCGAGTACGAGTACGAAGTCTTTAGTTAAGAGGTGAAAGAAGATTATTAGGGGTTGAGGGAAAAGTGGTGAAACTGAAATACAGCAGGAGTAGAAAGAATCTGGGCTCAACCAGATCGCTTCATCTTTCTTATTGGTGTTTTATCTTTGTTCTGCTCCCTTGGGTCGTCAGACCTTTGTATTAATATTGGTTTATTTATATAATGCTGCTTATTATTATTATTTTTATTATTGTTGGAGTTAGTGAGCTCGCCCAGGTCCTTGTGTAACTGGGAGGGTAGTCACATTACTTATTTATTTATTTGAGGTGTTAGTTAAGTGTTAGTTGTGTTAGTCTGAAATTTTCAGCCTTAGGCTGCCTTGAGTTCTGGTGGGGCTGGTGATCCGCCTGTCTTGCTTCTTCCATGTTTTTGCCATGGCTCGTAGCCCTTAACACTTGGGGCAGGAGGTGGTTCAATTACTTCTTCCTGGCTAATGTAGCTGGGAGGGTAATCACATTATTATTATTATTTTTATTATTTTTTTTTTTCGGAGTTAGTGAGCCCGCCCAGGTCCTTGTGTAGCTGGGAGGATAATCACATTTATTTATTTATTTTTTATTTATTTTTTTTTTTGCTAAGATGTTAGTTCAATGTTAAATGTTAATTGTTAAATATTAGTTATGTTAGTCTAAAGGTACACTGTATGGAGAGGCCTGCCAGGTTCTTAATGGAGCTGGTAGGTCACTCTCATCTTTTATTCTCTTTATTAAGGTTTTATATGTATATTGGGGCAGGAGATGGTTCAATTACTTTCTTCCTGGCTGATTTAAACCAACTGTGTTCTTGGAATTCTTCGTTGTCTATATTATTTATCCAGCTTTGATATGTTTCTGTGTTAAGTTCAGTCACTTTTTCCAAATATTTACAGCTTTGTTGTGTATATCTACATTGATTGCTAAGAGATTTGCTCTCTTGTGTAGCTGTTCATTACTGATGTGGTCTGTATGTTTTATGTTATATATAAATCTAAGGGCTATATTTTGTACTGTTTGTAACCTTTTAATGCACGTTTTACTAAGGGTGTTCAATGGGATGGGTGGGTAGTCCATAATTGATTTGACAAGGGCAATATATATCTTTCTCTTGTTATTAATGCTAAGGTTCTTAAAGCGTTTTATTTTTGATAATCTTATTCTTGCCTGTCGTTCTTTATCTTTTAAGTATGTTATATATCCTCTTTTTGTTAGTTTTAATCCAAGCATCCTGCCTTCAGTGTCGTATGGGTATAGTTCCTGGTCGACTATTACTGGACTTGTTTAATCTTGGCTATTGGTATTCTCTTGAATTTGTTCTTATTTGTCCTGATTTTCCATTTTTTCTCAAAATCATTTATGTTTTTTATCGCTCTTCCCGTGTAGAGTGCCATAAATTGGGTTGATTTTCCTGGGTATGATACTATTTGGTATATCATCTGTAAACGTATATTCGCTTGAGGGTGGGATTTGAGGTGTGTCCTGGTATGATGCAACATATAGTGTTGGAAAGACATCTCATCGCTTGAGTACTCCTCTCAAAGTTATTATAGTTCCCCAAAGGTTTAATTGATTTGTGCTCTCCTATCTAGCTCTAATGGTTACACAATATTCTTATGAAATTATTCATTAGAATCCCCAGTTTAATATTTGCCTCATTTTAAAACTCTGTGCCACCTTATCAAAAGCCTTAGAAACATCCCTTAAATTATATATTGATCATAGTTACCTTGCTTTTTTCTATTGCAATTATTTCCGTTATTATAGCTATTGCAGTTAGGGTATTTCTATTGGGCATAAATCCATGTTGTCTGCTGTTAGTTTTCCCATGTTGTGTTAAAAAGGCTATAAGTCTTGTATTTAAAATTTTTTCCAAGAGTTTCCCAGTAATTTCTAATAAAGATATTGGCCTGTAGTTTAATATTTCCTTATTGTCCTTACCCACTTCGGAATAAATATCATTTTAGCATATTTTAGTTTGTCTGGAAAGTAACCAATTATTAAGCATGCGTTATAAATGTTTAATAGTGTATTTAAAATGTTTTCAGGTAGATTCATGGTCATATTTCGTGTAATACCTGTGAGCCCAGGGGCTTTTTCCTTAAACTTCCTCAGACAGTGCATCATTTCTCCCATGGTTATTATTTGATTATTAGGTAATAAGTTATAGTCTATATATTGCCTTGGAGTGATTCTATGTATATGTCTTCCCATTTCTTCTTCTATCCTTTCTTCGTGTTCACTATCAAAGTCTTCATTTTCCTCATCTGATATTTTAAAAACTTTTACCCATTCCCTTTTGAATGCTGACTCTTGTTCATTTTCCTCGTGCAATTTTGTTCCATTTTGGTCTTTAATGTATGGTGTTTTTTGCTTGTTGTGCCCCATCATCTTGTTTATGGAAGTCCAAAATATTTTTGTGTCTTTAGTCATGTCAGCCGCCATTATAATATCATTCCATTTTTTATTGTTTGCTTCCTTACATGCGTCTCTTAATTTTATCTGTAGTGCTATCTGTATCGTATATAGCCATCTGTTACTGCCGTGTCTTTCCATATACCTGTTTATTTCATTGTAATAGGTCTGGATTAATTTAACTTCTTCTGATAGTCTGTTGTTGGGTAATGTTCTAAAGTGTGAAGTAGGAGTGTGTTTGGTTATAGATGTTTTTATTGCTGAGTGCAGTCTGTCCATTTCTGAGTTTATATCTTCTGTTGTTTTCCCTTGTAGGTTAATCGAGTGGTGATTACTTAAGTCGTCTTTGAAGCTGTCCCAGTCTGTTTTACTCATTTTCAGTCTCTTTTTTATTGGTATCTGTATGGGGCTTGTTGACAGTGTTAGTATAATTGGCAGATGGTCACTGCCTGTAAGAGGTCCCTGTATTATATGGTAATTGAAAAAGGCTTTGTTGTTGGTAAAAATTTTGTCTGGTGTCGATTGTGTATTATGATTTCTCCAGGTTGGAAAGTTAGGACCCAGATGATTGATTTTCCCTAAATTTATTAATTGATTAAGGGCGTTTCCCACGACGTTATTATTTGTATTGTCAAAAATCCTATGTCTGGCGTTAAAGTGACCTCCCTGCCTCAGTAGTAATGAACAAGTGACCTACCCACCTCAGTAGTAATGTGAGAATGACCTACCCGCCGAGCCTCGTCGACCACCCAGGAGAGTTGCGCCTGTGTCACGTTAGCGTTCTGGCCGTCCACTACCACCTCGAACGCTCCCACACCCCAAGGGGCGTGGTAATGATGTATGCCCTATTAAAAAAAATACCTTTTTTAATGTGCGAGTTAATATTTGTGGACGGATAACCAAAAGCTTTCATATGAAGAAAGTAACTGTAATTTTAGACCTCTAGTCTTCCTAGGTATAGATCAACTCTAAAATATCTGACTCAAAAGATGTTTTTGTAAATAATATACACTAAAATGGGTTAAATTTAAAACGCTGAAAGATAGTGTAATAGATGCACCAGGTTAAATAACGCACCTTATAAAGAGCGATGGGCCAGGTACTGCCGTCCGTGATGAATACAAGGAAGCAGTAAGGATCAGTGACTGAGGCCAACACATCCTCCACCGCAGCTATTAAAGGTCTGTCTGATATTGACAATGTGATGTTCGTTAGAATATATATTCATTCGTTTTGTAACAAGCGTTATCTGCATACGTATAATAGAGCTTCTCATAGATGATTAAAATTTATTGATATGTTTCGTTTTACCAAAATGTCGGTTATTGAATCATGCGTAGATTCTCTCTTTTTAAAGTTAATTATTGACATCGAATATACATATATCATGGAAAGACAGACATTACCTGTAAACTTACCCTGAAGGCGAGGCAGCCTTGCCACACCGGAGGACGCTAATACTATGAAGAGTCCTAGTAGAGACGTCACATACATCACTGTCTGACAGGGCAGGGCAGGGATTAATGGTAATGCAGTGGAAGGGCCGCTCAGAATACCGAATCTGCACAAACAAAATTGATATATTATTTACCGTGACCTGGACTGGTGTTCCTGAGATTGAGGTTAAAGAGACGCGCTGGTAATAATATGATACTTATATCAAACAACAGCACCAACCGTACAGCACTAAAAAAATATATTAATTGCACAAGACAATAATTCACTTGGATTGATTTCTCATCACATATGACATCGCTAGACACCACTATTATCAACATCGGAAAATATGGAAATGGTACCAATGCGAGCTCACAATGACCCAATAATTACCAAAGACCCGTGCACGTCCCTCTATACACCACGCTTCACAACAAAATGAGTAATATGACCTCACCAACACAGGAGATGCTGAGGTCAAAGGTCACACTTCCCTTAGTTTAAGCCTATGGATCCATAGCTCAGCAGTCCCTCAGCACACATATTCATAAAAGAGCATAGTGGTCTGAAAACTCCACGAGATAATACTAACCACTAGAATATTATTAGTTAGATCTGTAGGAGACTTTCACATTTTCATATTCATAACAAAACTTAAATGAAGAGTAAGTACTGTAGTACATGTGTATCTTTTGTTATAAGAACATAAGAAAATAAGGAGTCTGCAATAAGAACATAAGAACATAAGAATGGAGGAAACTGCAGCGGGCCTATTGGCCCATACTGGGCAGTCCCGTTTACACCCAACCCCTATTGCTCATATAAGCATCCAACCTATGTTTGAAGCTATTCAGGGTATTCGAGTTAATGATGATATTTGGTAACTTGTTCCATTCATCCACCACTCTGTTTCCAAACCAGTGTTTACCTATTTCCCGCCTAAATCTAAATTTGTCTAATTTAAAACCATTGTTACGAGTTCGCTCCTGGTTGGATAGTTTGAGTACCTTTGTAATGTCCCCTTTGTTTAGCCCTGCCTTCCACTTATACACCTTTATCAGGTCGCCCCTCGCTCTACGTCTCTCAAGGGAGTGCAAATTAAGATGCTTTAACCTGTCTCTATACTCAAGGTTCCTAATGCCCAGGATTAGTCTTGTCATTCTCCTCTGAATTCTTTCCAAGGATTCTATATCCATTCTGTAATACGGTGACCAGAACTGAACTGCGTAATCCAGGTGTGGTCTCACAAGAGCAAGATACAGTTTTAGGATGACCTCGCTAGTCTTGTAACTAACACTCCTTTGTATGAATCCAAGTACTTTATTAGCCTTGTTACGAGCAAAAACACATTGTTACTTGGCTTAAGGTTCCTACTATCATTACTCCTAAATCTCTCTCGCAGTCGGATTTCTCTATAGCATCGTTGTTCATCTGGTATCTGGTTTCCCTGTTTACATCTCCTATACTGAGTACTTTACATTTGTCGACGTTGAATTTCATCTGCCATTTTTCAGACCATTCGAAAAATTTGTTTTAGATCTTCCTGTAGTTTTGCTGAGTCCTCGTCAGATTTAATAACGTCCTATTTTAGTGTCATCAGCAAATTTACTTATGTTGCTGTCTATGCCGATATCTATGTCGTTTATGTATATAATAAATAATAATGGTCCAAGTACTGAGCCTTGGGGAACTCCACTTGTGACGTTGCTCCAATGGGACTTAGTGCCGTTAATGCTCACTCGCTGTTTCCTGTCCTGTAACCACGCCCTAATCCATTTAAGGATGTTACCTTTGATGCCATGAGCTTCTACCTTTCTAATTAGTCTTTCGTGGGGGACTCTGTCGAAGGCTTTGCTAAAGTCGAGATATACCACATCATAATTGTGCCCCTCGTCCACCGATTCGAAAACTGATGAAAAGAATGTTAATAGATTAGTTAGACAAGAACGTCCGCTTGTGAAGCCATGCTGGGAATCATTGATCAATCGTGCTTCTCCAGGTGATTTCGAATAGAGTTTGAAATGATTGCTTCCAGTAATTTGCCTACTATTGATGTTAGACTCATTGGGCGGTAGTTAGAGGATAGTGATCTATCCCCCTTCTTGAAAATCGGTATTACATTCGCTATCCTCCAGGATTCTGGTACTACACCTGTTTTTAAGGACATGTTAAACAACTTTGCTAAGGGAATACTAAGCTCTTCCTTACATTCCTTTAATACTTTGGCAAATATCTCATCGGGACCAGGTGACTTATTAGGCTTTAGTTTGTCTATTTGCTTACTAACATCGTTACTAGTCACTACTATCTCGCTTAATTTGTTTTCTTCACTATCTCTGAATAGAGTCGGTACCTCGGGTATCATGTTTAAATTTTCGGTGGTGAAAACTGTTGAAAAATATTTATTCAAATTATTGCTCATTTCTCTGTCGTTATCAGTGAGCTCGCCGGCGTCTGACTGTATTGGTCCAATCTTTTCTCGTGTTTTAGTTTGATATATTTGGTAGAATCCTTTGGGGTTTGTCCTTAACTCATTATTCCTCTTTGCTTTCCCTATCTCGGTTTTAACCCTACTCGCCAATACCCTATAATAGTCCCGGAGGTGAATTTCGCCACGATTTATCCTTCTACCTATAGCCTTCCTTTGGCCGATGATGTTCTTTAAATAATTATTTATCCATTTCGGGTCATTGTTGTCTGATCTGAGTTTTTTGTATGGTATGTTCTGCCTTTGTGCATTAAGTAACTCACTATTTAAATTGATGTGGAACTCGGCAATCTCAGATCTCGTTATCAGGTCGGTGTCATCTGTCAGGTTCACAGCCAAGCGCGACACCCCCTCTCTGAGCTGCCTCTTTAAACTGTCAAAGTTCGCCCTTCTGAAATCTGGTACTTTAGTGGAATTTTCCTTACGTCTGCCCTGAAAATCTAACTGGAATCTAATTTCTTTGTGGTCCCTGTATGCAAGTTCGTTCCCTACCTCGACACTGCTAATGAGGTTTTCTCTGTTTGACAGAACTAAATCGAGTATATTATTACCCCGTGTGGGTTCGGTTATATGTTGACTTAGAAAACAGTCCTGGATCGTCTCGAGAAAATTCTCTGATTCTGAGTTACCTGCAAGGTCAGTCCAATCTATTTGGCCAAGGTTAAAGTCGCCTACTATACAGACTTTGTTGTGTATGGAAGCCCTGCGCATTTCATCCCAGATAAGTCGCTCATTGACTCTATCAAGATTGGGAGGTCTATATATTACTCCTGTGATTAATTTTTCCCTACCATCGATTAATTCTGTCCAAATTGTTTCTGTATTCCCCTCAGTTTTTATTTCCTTATTTATTTCACACTTCAGATTATCCCTAACATAGATTGCTACTCCGCATCCTTTTCTGGTCTGCCTATCGGTATGGAACAGTTTGTAACCTGCAATTTGGTATTCGACTGGTAACTCACGTGTGTCTAGGTTGATCCATGTTTCAGTGAATGCTATTATATCGATTTTTTCGGTACATACCAAGGCCCTAATATCATCCATTTTGTTTCTCATACTTCTACTGTTCGCGTAGTATACATTTAAGTTAGTCGAGTTCTGAGTCCTCCCTTTACCGCGTTTAGTTTTAAACTCCCTGTCTAATTTAGTTTTGTCATCATTCCTAACACTATTTCCCTGTAATCTTTCACTTTGTTTACCCGCTCCCACTGCAGTCTCCTCCACCCCCGTGCTCATATGTTCCCCTAGCAGTTTAAAGACTTCGATATCTTTTGAACTGCCCCCTCTAGAGCTCCAGCCAGGGTTGCTACTCCATCCCTAGACAGGTGCACCCCATCCCTAGCATAAAGGGCCCTTCTGCCATAGAAGTTGTCCCAGTTGTCAATGAATGGGACTGATATTGACTTGCAATATCTGCCAAGACGGTCGTTGACACCAACTGCCCTTGACAACCATTCACTGCCAACTCTCCTTCTAGGCAGGAGCCCCCATATGATAGGGATCCCTCCCTTAGTCCTAATACGATCTATAGCTGCCTTGAACTTATCAAGAAGCTCCTCGCTCCTACACCGGCCAATATCATTGCCTCCTGCACTGAGGCAGATAATGGGTTTGTTCCCATTACCAGACAAGATATTGTCCATCCTGTCAATTATATCCCCCACCCCAGCTCCTGGCAAACATACCCTTATCCTATTTTTGTTTTTACCACAAAAGGCCCTGTCCATGTACCTTACCTGTGAGTCACCAACAATTAAAGTTTTTATACCTTCCTTGTCATCCCTGTCCCTGACTGTACTAACGTCCAATTCGTCTATCAAGGGACTGAACGGGTTGGTACACTTAGCTGTTGTTGTCGTTGTTGTTGTATCCTTGGTGTACTTCTTCACCACCAGCTTCGTCTTCCCACTACTCACCACCTTCCAGTCGCTTGAGTTTTCGTCAGACACTGGCTCTCCTTTTAATTTCGCCAGCTCTTCCTTTAATTTCAGGTTCTCCAACGTGGTCCTCTCAATTTCTTCCTTGGCCCTCGCCAATTGTTCCATGGACCACTCCAGTTTGGTCAACAAACTCACATACCCAAGACCACACATAGCACTGGCCATATCTGATAATTACCCCTCGGGAGCTAACCCTGCCGTGACCTTTCCCTAGTGAGGTCAGAACACAACATAGGCCGGTTGGGCTGTGCATGGCAGCTCCTGTCGAGAGTTACTACTACTCTCTATCATCCATGAATCTATCTAGCCTCCTTTTAAAACTTTCCAGCGTTCCAGCACTTACTACAAAGTTGCTAAGCTTGTTCCACTCGTCCACCACCCTATTTGTGAACCAGTTCCTTCCTATCTCCCTCTTAAACCTAAACTTATCCAACTTAAATCTATTTAACTAATGATTCTTATTAAACTCCACGCCCGCAAAACATGAGTGAGTTAGCGACCCCTAGAAGGAGCGTGTTTACCTTCGCGATCCCTCGAAGTAAGTCCCGCTTTCGGACACAGTTGTCAATACGTTGTTTATTCCACTTTCTCCTGGGAAGCTCAATCTTGAATTAGTCTGTGTAAATCAACCCAAGTAATTCGCCAGACCTTTGTCAACTGAGGGTCATCTTTGAATGAGTAACAGTTAGTTTG